CACATTTTATTTATTTACAAAGCAAATTCTTAGATACTCTGTTGAATTTGAATTCCTTTTTGGTTTAGGTTGTATAGATGTTGTGTCACATCTGTTGTCTTAGCAAATTATAATGTCTCTAGACTGATTCATTTTTTCCTCTCAAAGAATAGTGTATCTATATCACACATTGAATAGTCTGTTGGGACATCAAAGATGGGTTCAAAACACTGTGCAAAAATCACTGTTCTGAAAAAGTAAGTAATTATTCTCACATCCATTTTCCACATTGAAATGCTATGAACAACTCTGTTCTAACAAACTGGCCAATCTAGAAGAAATGAATATATTCCTAGAAAAATACGACCTTCCAAAACTCAATCAGGAAGAATTAAAAGAATCTGAATAGGCTGATAACTATTGAGGAAATTGAAGCAGGAATCAAAACACTTCTAGAGAGCCTGGCTATAAAACCATATGTATATGGACAGATAATTTTCAACAAAGGAGACAGAAACACACAATGGAGTTAAGATAGTATCTTCAGTAATTGGTGCTGGGAAAACTGGAAAGCCACATGCAAAAGAATGAAAGTGGATTACAGTTTGTCACCCATGTACAAAAATTAATTGAAAATGAATCAAAGACTTAAATATAAGACCCGAAACAATAAATTACATCGAAGAAAATAGAAATACCAAACTTATGGACCTTGGTTGTAGAGAACAATTTCTGAACTTGACCTCAAAGGCAAGGGAAGTAAAGGCAAGAATATATCAATGGGATTATATAAAACTAAAAGGCTTCTGCGCAGCAAAAGAAACTGACAGCAAAACAGAGTCAGCCATAGATGGGAGATGATATTTGCAAACAGTAGCTCTGAGAAAAGTTTAGTTTCCAAAATATATAAAGCACTCATAAAACTCAACACCAAACAAACTATCCAATCAAAAAGTGGGCAGAGGACAGCCGGCTTCTCTTCAGCTTCAGCCTGCACGCTGCCATCGCCATTACGCTGGGTGCCGCTTTCCTTCGCTGCGCTGTAGCAGTGGCAGTAGCAACCTCCGGAGCCAGCTCTCGAGGCCTCCTGCACCCCGCACCAGCCCCGGCCCCGCTGTGGGTGTCCAGTCAGTTCGCTGCTACTCCCATGGGTCACATGAGACAGATGAGGAATTAGATGCTCGCTGGGTGACATACTTCAACAAGCCAGATATTGATGCCTGGGAATTGCGGAAAGGGATGAACACGCTTGTTGGCTATGATCTGGTTCCAGAACCCAAAATCATTGATGCTGCTTTGCGGGCATGCAGACGGCTAAATGATTTTGCTAGTGCTGTTCGCATCCTAGAGGTTGTTAGGGACAAAGCAGGACCGCATAAGGAAATCTACCCTTATGTCATCCAGGAACTTAGACCAACTTTAAATGAACTGGGAATCTCCACTCCAGAGGAACTGGGCCTTGACAAAGTATAAACCCTAGCAATGGGCTTCCCAAGGATTTACTGATGATGCGACTTGAGTGTAAACAATCACCTGGAAATACTGATGATAACATATTGCCTTATTTGAACAAGTTTTCCTTTATTGAGTACCAAACCATGTAATGGTAACTTGAATTTTAATAAAAAGGAAATGAGTTTGAACTGAAGAAAAAAAAAAGTGGGCAGAGGAGCTGAAAATGCACTTCTCCCAAGAAGACATATGGAGCATCAATAGATATATGAAAAGATGTTCAACCTCACTGACAATTAGTGAAATGCAAATCAAAACTACAATGAGCTACCACCTTACACCTGTTAGAGTGGCCATTATCAACAAGACAAGCAATAACAAGTGTTGGAGAGGTTGTGGATAAACCTCACTGCTGATGGGAATGTAGACTGGTGCAGCCACTGTGGAAACCAGTCTGATGATTCCTCAAAAAATTAAGAATAGAGCTACGATATGACCCAGCAATCCCTCTTCTGGTTATACACCCGAAAAACTCAAAATCATGTATTTGCAAAGATATATTAGTATGTACCCCTATGTTCAGTGCAGCATTATTCATGGTGGCCAAGACATGGAAACAACCAAAGTGTCCCGGAATAGAGGATAAGGAAGACGTGGTATATATACACACAATGGAATACTATTCAGCCATAAGAAAGGATGGGATAGTGCCATTTGCAACACCGTGATGGACCTTGAGAACATTATGCTATGTGAAATAAGTCATTTGGAAAAAGCTAAAAGCTATATGATTTCGCTCATATGTGTGATATAAAACTAAAACTCTTTACCACAAACAGCAGTATGGTGATTGCCAGAGGGAAGAGGATGCGGGTAAAGGGGGTCCTGATATATGGTGACAGAAGATTTCACTTTGGGTGGTGGGCACATGGTGCAATATATAGATATTATAACACAGAAACCCATACCTAAAGCCTATATGTACATGTTGACAAATGTCACTCCAATCAATTTAATTAATAAATATTTTAAAAACGTTCTTTATATATTCCACATACAAGTTTCTTCACAGGCATGACTTGAAAATATGATCTCTCATTTTATAGGTTGTCGTTATGCTTCCTCTATAGGGTCGTTTGAAGCACAAAAGTTTTTAATTTTGATTAAGTTCAATTTATCTATTTTTTCTTTGGTCGCTAGTGCTTTTGGTGTCATACCTAAAAATGCTTTGCCAACTCTGAGGTCATAAAATTTAACCTATGTTTTCCTCTAAGAATTTTATAGTTTTAGATCTCCCAATTAGATATTTGATCCATTTTGAGTACATTTTTATACAGTATGATTCAAAGGTCAGTTTATAATGTGGCTAACCAGTTGTTCCAACACCATTTGTTGAAAGACTAAAATATGATTGTAATGGCCTATTTGCTACAAAAGATGTGGTTCTCAAAGTGTAATCACCATAGCAGTAACCTTACTTGTTAGAAATGCAAAGTCAAGATCCCATCGCAGACCTATTGAATCTGAAACTCAACAGTTGGGCCCAGCAATCTTTGTTTTTTATTGAATTTATTGGAGTGACATTGATTCACAAAGCCATAAGGTTTCAAGTGTACACTCAACAAAACATTATCTGCACACTGCATTATGCACCCATTGCCCAAAGGAAAGTCTCTTCCGTCCTTATTTATCCCCCTTTGCCCAACTCAAACTACCCCATCCCCTCTTCCCTCTATCACCAAACTATAATCTGTGTTCGTGTGTGTGTGTGTGCGTGCGTGCGTGTGTGTGTGTGTGTGTGTATCCTTCACCTTCTTTTATCCAACCCCCAACCCTCACCCCTCTGACAGCTGTCAGTCTATTTCATGTATCCATGCCTCTGTTTCTATTTTGTTCATCAGTTTATTTTGTTCATTAACTTCCACATATAAGGGAGATCATATGTTATTTGTCTTTCTCTGACTGGCTTATTTCACTTAACATAATAATCTCCAGGTCCATCCATGCTGTTGCAAAAGGTAAGATTTCCTTCTTTCTTATGACCAATTAGTATTCCACTGTGTAAATGAACCACAGCTTTTTTAAAAAAAATTTTTTATGGACTTGAGAGAGAGGGTGAGGAGGGAGGGAGAGAGAGAGAGAGAGACATTGATGTGAGAGCGAGACATAATTCGGCTGCCTCCTGCATGGCTCCTACCAGGAATAGAGCCCACAATCTGAGCATGTGTCCTGATGGGGAATTGAACCAGTGACCTTTTGGTACACCGCCCAAGTCACACCAGCCAGGGCTGAACCACAGCATTTTTATTCACTCATTTACTGATGGGCACTTGGGCTGTTTCCAGATCATTGGTATTGTAAATAACATTTCTATGAACATAGGGGTGCATATATTCTTTCTGATTGGTATTTCAGGATTCTTAGGATATATTCCCAGAAGTGGGATTTCTGGGTCAAAAGGCAGTTCCATTTTAATGTTTTGAGGAAACTCCATACTGTTTTCCACAGTGACTGCACCAGTATGCATTCCCACCAACAGTGCATCAGGGTTCCGTTTTCTCCACATCCTCACTAGACTTGTTGTTTATACATTTATTGAGGACAGCCATTCTGACCGGTGTGAGGTGACATCTCACTGTGGTTTTAATTTGCATTTCTCTGATGGTTAGTGACATTAAGCATCTTTTCATATGTCTATTGGCCATCTCTATGTCCTCTTTGGATAAGTGTCTATTCAGGTCCTTTGTCCATTTTGTTTGTCTACCTGGTGTTCAGTTATATAAGTTCTTTATATATTTTGGAAATTAACTCCTTATCAGATGTAACATTGGTTAATATGTTGTCCCATTCAGCGGGCTCCCTTTTCACTTTATTGATGGTTCCTTTTGCTGTGTAAAAGCCTTTTAGTTTAATGTAGTCTCATTTGTTTATTTTTTCCTTTGTTTCCCTTGCTCAAGGAAATACATCAGCAAAAATATTGCTATGAGAGGTGTCTGAGGTTTTAATGCCTGTGTTTTGTTCTAGGATTTTTATGGTTTCTTGACTTATGGTTAAGTCTATTATCCATTTTGCGTGTATGTGTATAGTGGTCTAGTTGCACTTTTTTGCATGTACCTGTCCAAATTTCCCAACACCAATTAGTGAGGAGACTGTCTTTTCTCCATTGTGTGCTCTTCCCTCCTTTGTCAAATATGAATTGACCATAAAAATGTGGGTTTATTTCTGAACTCTCTGTTCTATTCCATTGATTTATATGCTTGTTCATATGCTATTACCAAGCTGTTTTGATTTCAGTAGCTTTATAGTATAGTTTGATATTAAGTAGCATGTTTCTCCAACTTTGTTTTTTCTTAAGATTGCTGTGGTGGTTCAAGGTCTTTTTTGGTTCCATATAAATTTTTGAAGTATTTGTTCTAGATCTGTGAAATGTGCCATTGGTAATTTAACAGGAATTGTGTTGAGTCTATAGATTGCTTTGGCTAGGATGGACATCTTAATTATGTCAGTTCTTCCAATCCATGAACCTGGTATATGCTTCCACTTTTTTGTATATTCCTCAATTTCTTTTTTTTTTTTGTATTCTATAATTTTTGGAGTACAGGTCTTTTACCTCTTGGTTTAATTTATTTCTAGGTACCTTATTTTTTGTTGCAATAATAAATGGGATTGTTTTCTTAATTTCTCTTTCTGATAGTTCATTATTGGTGTATTAGAGGCCTGGTGCATGGATTCGTGCACCAGTGGGGTCCCTCGGCCTGGCCTGCACCCTTTTGCAATCCAGGACCCCTTGGGGGATGTCAGATTGCTGGTTTCAGACTGATCCCCACTGGTGCATGAATCTGTGCACTGGGCCTCTAGTATGTATGTAAGATCTTTGGTTAATCTCCTCCCACCCTCCCCCCACTCCTTTCCCTCTGAGATTCATCAGTCTGTTCCATGTTTCCATGCCTGTACATTGAGCATCTGCCCCCTGGTGGTCAGTGTGCATCATAGCTACTGGTTAGAATATAGATAAGAACGCCACTGATTTCTGAATATTAATTTTATATCCTGCTAATTGCTGAATTCTTTTATTAGAGCTAGTAGGTTTTTGGTGGAGTCTTTAGGGTTTTCTATATATAATATCATGTCATCTGCAAAGTATAGCCATTTTACTTCCTCCTTTTTCAATTTGGATGCCTTTTCTTTTATCTTTTTGTCTGATTGCTGTAGCTAGAACTTCCAGTACTATGTTGAATAAGAGTGGTGAAATTGGACATCCCTGACTTGTTCCTGATCTTAAGGAAAATATTTTTAGGTTTTGCCCATTGAGTATGATGTTGGCTGTGGGTTTGTCATACATGACCTTTATTGTTTTGAGAAATAATCTCTCTATTCTCACTGTGCTAAGAGTTTTTATCATAAATGGGTGATGGATTTTATCAAGTGCTTTTTCTGTATCTATCGATATGATCATGTGCTTTATCCTTCAATTTGTTTATGTGATGTATAATGTTTATTGATTTGCAAATATTTTACCAACCTTGAATCTTTGGAATAAATCTCACTTGATCATGGTGTATAATCTTTTAATGTATTGCTGGATCTGGTTTGCCAATATTTTGTTGAGGATTTTAGCACTTATACTCATCAGGTATTGGCCTATAATTTTCTTTCTTTGTAATATCTTTATCTAGTTTTGGAATTAGGATAATGCTGGCCTCATAAAAAGAGCTTTTGGTAGTGTTTTCTCCTCTTCAATTTTTGGGCAGTTTGAGAAGGATAGTGTTAGTTCTTCTTTGAATGGTTGGTAAATTCACCTGTGAAACCATCTGGTTTAAGACTTTTATTTTCTGGATGTTTTTTTGATGACTGCTTCAATTTCATTAGTTGTAATCTATCTATTCAGATTTGCTGATTCTTCCTGATTCACATTTGGAAGAGTGCATGTTTCTAGGAATTTATCTATTTCATCCAGGTTGTCTAGCTTGTTGGCATATCGCAGTTCATAGTATCTATACTTATAATAGAGTAATATGCAAATTGGTTGGGACACCATTACGTAATAACAGATCAGCAGAAGGGCAGGGCAGCAAGCTATGCGTGGTGGAGAGCTACAGGAGGGTGGGGCAGCGAACTATGAGTGGCAGAGAGCTATGAGCAGTGGCGGGCAGGGCAGCCAGCTGAGGCAAGTGGCAGTGAGCTACCCGTGCACGG